CGGCCCATCGTCCTCTACATGCACATTCTGCACATTGCGGGTCATATATCCCCAAAGCATGAAACATGTCACTGTACATAGACCTGGAACCAGACGGACCTTCTGCTGAGTCGGCTTGTTGGGAATCTTGACGTAAGAGAAACCTTCTCCGCACCCCGTGGGGTCGGCAACGCCCGTCACCTCCAGCAAACATTTCCCTTTCATTGCAGCGATGAAAGCTCTCGTAGTGTTCCACGGAGCCGTCCTCACCTAGAACAATGGGGGACATCCAGTCATCACACCGCCAAAGGACACCTCCCCCCGGGGGCCCGGGACACGAGAAAACCTCCCCCCGGGGGCCCGGGACACGGGGGGCCCGGCCAGGACGAGGAACAAAGGGGTCCCCCTGATGCTGTGCGGACTGCGTGGGATGCTATGGTATCGCTGGCTGCTGGCTGTCACTGGAAGGGGCCCGGCACACACCTCGTCATCAATCTTCATCTGGAAATCTTCTTCATTTTCTTCCTCTGGGGCAAAAAAGGATTTCTCTCCATAGCCGGCGTCCTGCAAGAGACAATGCGTCATGACATACAAGCTCAGCCATGTGATATGCGTCATGACATACAAGCTCAGCCATGTGATATGCGTCATGACATACAAGCTCAGCCATGTGATATGCGTCATGACATACAAGCTCAGCCATGTGATATGCGTCATGACATACAAGCTCAGCCATGTGATATGCGCCATGACATACAAGCTCAGCCATGTGATATGCGCCATGACATACAAGCTCAGCCATGTGATATGCGCCATGACATACAAGCTCAGGGATTACCTTCAGTCTCTGCTCGGCGGAGATCATACTGTAGTACGCGCAGCACTGCTCCGGGGACACCATCGCCCGAATTTCCTCTTCGGTTGGTAAACGGAAATCCGGCTTCAACACCCACCAATTGGAGTCCATTCCTGCGAGGGGGGAACGCAGAAAGGGGCGTGACATACGAGGGGGGAATGCAGAAAGGGACTGCTGGTGCCACAGGGCTGCCCTCTGAGAGGTACAATGACAGCCCAGCATGCCGGTGACAGCTCTTCCGTACACAAAACCATGTGATCACTAGGGTCACATGATCGGGAACTGCGCCGATTGGCTCCCGTGTGCTGTATCTGACAGGCAGGGCAGTCACAGAACTAGCATCAGGCACCAGGGCTGTGGAGGGTCGTGAGGGCCGTGGAGGACGGCATGGGGGGCGGCATGGAGGGTTGCGGAGAGAGGCGGAGGGGTGGGGGGGGCGGCGTGGGG